CCTGTGAAGTCTCTGCTTCGCTCAGAGGAATTGCATTTGCTCATGGTTGGACAGGGTATCTTTGTTAAGTGGTAAATGCTACAATATTCAGGCTTTGTTAGAGTACAGACAGGAAAAATGAACTGCTATTGCCTGATAACCATGCACATCATATGAAAAGATGGAAATAAATATTCATGTAAAAACTGCTCCAACAAAAAAAAAAAAAATGCAAATCATCTGTGAACCAAAAATTAGTGGGTCCCATTAAGTCTGTTAAGGGTGACTGCACAAATATGTCTTTTTTGCTGAAGTTTTCCTCTGTGTTGTATCATGACATAAAAGTGAGATCCTGCTCATGCTCAGTTGACTCTTGCTTACTTGAGTTAGGTACACATAAACAGACAGACATGTCATGAAAATGCAAAAACTCAAAGTGCACACCTATACCCAATAAATACCAATCACAGGACAGACGTTGCAGACACACAAACACTGTTACACACATTTTTTCCTGTACATTTGTGCATGCAGCACACAAACACCCACATATGCACAGTGCCGAGACTCCCTGTCTGCCATATATGATTTACATTTAGTGTTTGAAGGAGTTGACATGTGGCTCAGGGAATTCTTTGCCTAATGAGCGTCTCTTCACATAAGCCGTTTGCTGGAGTTATCCCCAACATGACACTGCTATCAAAATGTCAGTGAATCTCAGTTTCACTACCAGTTTCACTGGCCAGCTCATACAGGCAGACTGGATGTGGAGACGCATCCTTATTGCACATTACTGGAAATACTAGCATAAAGAAATAAAAAAGAGGGAAAACTTTGCAGTTGCTTCCTTAGAGATGTTCAGTTTGAAATCTTTTATGGGTCACTGTGAATTTTCAAAGCAATTTCTAATTGCGTAGGTATACGCACACTGAAACATTATATTAAAGAAACTTTCTGTATCTTAGGAAAGCTTCTGCACACTGTTAGAAGTGTGAATCTTTTTAACAGAGCAAGGTCTTGGTCAGTAAGACTTTGATTAGGGTGATACTGACTGAGAAATACAGTGGGTACGGAAAGTA